TTTTACTTTACTAAAAGTTTGAATGAATTGCTGTCTACCTGAAGGCTACTGGTTGAACTGGGACGTATTTAGGGGCATCAGAGTAGAGAGGGCTGGAGAACATCAGAGGTTCTCTTAGTCAGATCAGATCCCAGGAAATAGATGTGGGTGTGAAAACTTTCTGGGTGGGTCTGCTAACTGCTCATGTTCATATTGATCAAAGATTAAAAACTGAACTAGAAAAGTCTAAACTTTAGATTAACGTTTTCTAGTCATTTTGTACACAGAGTATAAAACTAAAGTTTGTTAAATTTCTTAAAGTTGAGCAGAGATCAAAAGTAAAGATATTTCAGTTTTTTTCCATTTTATTCAACATTCAGGTCTGATGTTAGAAGCTGTTCTGGAATCTGAGAGTTTATCGGCTGAAAATATAGAAACAAAAACTCTAAAGTTCATTCTGACTGTTTTCAGTCAATTATTTCCAATTAATGAATGAACCATGGTGGGAGGGGGCGTGTCTCCGTCCTGTGATCTGATTGGTTGCTGGAGAGTCGATGCAATCAGCTGGTTTTCCTTAGATAGAAAACTTTGATCAATCTGACTGGATGATCTGGTTGATGTGGATCTATAAAGTGACCTGAGATGACCTGAGTTGTTAATTGGCGCTGTAGAAATAAACTGAACTAAACGTCAGCAGGGGCGGCTCTCTGATGTCCGTCCTGTGGTCTGATTGGCTGACGTCAGCAGGGGGCGGCTCTTTGATCTGCAGCTGGGTATGGACGGGTCTTCCTCTCAGTCCAGGAGCGCCGCTGGGAGCAGAAGATCTGCAGGAATGGAGCCGCTGGTTGCTGCCATTGACCAGGGAACCAGCTCCACCAGGTTTCTGGTGAGTGGACCGAACCGAACCGAACCGAACCGAGCCGAACCGAAGCGCTCATATCACTGTGGTTCACAGGAAGAGTCAGAATGGAATGAATGAGAGGCGAAGATCAGGGAGGATTCCAGAGATTATTAACTAGATCAGCACCAAAGCGCTTACTCTGCTGCTTTTAAAGGAAAACTTTTAGGATATTTAGTAAAGTTTTCTTTATTCATTCTAATAAAGTTTTCTTTATTCATTCTAATAAAGTTTTCTTTATTCATTCTAATAAAGTTTTCTTTATGCATTCTGATAAAGTTTTCTTTATTCATTCTAATAAAGTTTTCTTTATTCATTCTAATAAAGTTTTCTTTATTCATTCCAATAAAGTTTTCTTTATTCATTCCAATAAAGTTTTCTTTATTCATTCCAATAAAGTTTTCTTTATTCATTCTAATAAAGTTTTCTTTATTCATTCTAATAAAGTTTTCTTTATTCATTTCTATTTCCTTTATTAATTCGCTGCTGCTGAACTTTAATCACTCCAATCTATGAAAGCAGCTCTGCTGATCTAACTGCTGAATCAATGCAGCTCAGAAACACTAACCATCATCATCATCATCATCATCATCATCATCATCATCATCATCATCATCATCATCATCATCATCACAGGGATCTGCTAAGGATTAAAACTTACAGCATATCTCTGAAGAAAAACTTTACAGATGAATGAAAAAGGTTTCTCCACCAGGTCCAGGTCCAGGTCCAGGTCCAGGTCCAGGTCCAGGTCTAGTCTGTCCAGGTCTGTCCAGGTCCAGGTTCTGGTCCTCGTACTGGACTGGTTGGGACCACTGGGTGTTTCAGAAACACTCTGAGCAGCTGATTCTATGATCTATCAGCAGTTATCCTGAGACATCCATGTCCATCTGTCCTTCCATCTGTCCGTCCGTCCAGTGGTCCTGCCAGTGTTGGGTCCAGTAGGTCCACAGTCTCGTCTCCTGGACTTCCTGCTGATCAGTTCTCGGTCTTCTAAATGCAGAACCAAAGTCCCTAGGACCTTGTCTCTGGCTCCAGGACTCGGTTTGGTCCACAGACCCTCTGGATGCTGACTGACTCAGAACCTGCTGAGCTGAACCTCTCTGGCTTCCTGGATGAAGGTTCTGAAGAACTTCTATTCTGCACAGACTTCGTGGACTCGGCTGAACCAGATCAGATGATCACCAATCCACGGCTCTGAGAAAGCAGGACTGGTTTTACTGGTTTCGGTCTCACTGTGGTTCCTCTTGGCGACAGAACCGGTCTTGATACATTATGAAGTTCTACTGGGCCGGTCCTGCTTATCTAAAGGAGCTTCTAGACGTCCAGACTCAGCAGGAGCATCAAGGACATCTTCAGAAACCTCCTGGAAACCCAACGTTTCTCCATAGCTTCAGGAAACCTTCCTTCTTTTTCATCTCCTGACTTCAGGCCACCTGGTTGGTCCTCGGCTCCGAACCCGTCCCCCACTGAACCCCGGCATCCTGGGGTTAAGGGCCAAGAACCTGGTGACAGTCTGGACAGCTCCAGAACCAAACCTCTGCTGCCAAGTGTGTGTGTGTGTGTGTGTGTGTGGGGGGGGGGGGGTGTTTGGTGTGGAACTCGGCTCTAAGCTTGTGGAAAAGCAGACAGACCTCCAGAAGAACCTTGTCTCCAGAACCGCCTGGTGTGAAGCTCTGAGGCTGACTGTTGGAACGGAGGCGGAACCGTAGAACCGTAGATCCGTAGAACCAGAACCTGGAGGAACAGAAGCAGATTGTTAGAGAACTGCAGCAAACCGGGTCAGCTGGAAAACGAGCAGCAGAATGCGGCTCTGCTGAGGTCCAATGGTCTGGTGGAGGAAAAGAACCAGAGTGACTCAATTACTTCCCATCATCATCATCGTCATCATCATCATCATCATCAGATGAGGGAGGAACCGAGCAGAACTGAACCAGGCTTGATGCTTTAGAAGAATCCAGCAGGAGAAAGTTCTTCATCGTTTGTTCATCCAGCAGATCTTGAAACTCTGGAGACTGGTCTTCATGGAAAACCAACAACCTCCCAGTTTACCAGACTGGTCGCTTTTTGTTACTAAAATAAAAAATAAAAGGAAAAATGATTGAACCAGAATAGAGTTTAGTAAATCTGATTCTATTCCTGTTCTGGAAGCTGGTGGCTCTGCTTCCCTCCCACCGCAGGTTTTAAAACCATCTGCTGACAGAAGATTATGGAGATCTTTTAGTTTCCACATCAGGACAATCGTTTCTTCTATTTTCAAATATCCATGACTTTAACCCCAGGAAATGATGAGGAAGGCTTAAATAGATGATGGAGCAGGAGAATGTGAGGGAGGAGCAGCAGGGAGGAGCAGCGGGGAGGAGCAGCGGGGAGGAGCGATGACTTGGTCTGACTGATGATTCAAGCAGGAGTCACTGCAGCTGATGATGTTTGCAGATGATGCTGAGATCTATGAAGCGGATGATTCGCTGCTCCACGATCAAAGGGAGCAGCCTAAAGACTTTATTACAAAAGTTTAGATTTTTCTTTTCTTACGTCTGACATCTACTGTATGTTTCTGATCTTCTGCTTGCAAACTAATGAAGGAAAAATATACTGATTATACAAAAGAACAGGAGGAACAGGTGAAGAATCTCACCTGTTAGACCTTCAACTGAAGGATTATTGATCTCACAGTGGAGAAATGTACTCGATCCATCAGTTCAAATAGTCAAAGAAGAAGAAGAAGAAGAGGGAGCCAAACGAAGGAAAAGGATTGATTGATTGATTGATTGATTCTCCAGCGGTCCAGGTTCAGGTCCTCCACTGCAGCTAATGTCTTTTGATTGTTTCTGAGCAAATAAATCTGCTAACATTCTGCCATATATTCACATATTTCCTTTAACATCCACCTGCAGCTCAGGACAGAAGCTGGGAATCTATCTTCTCTTCCATTTCCCGTTTCAGTCTAGTTTCATCCCAGTTAGTCCAGCTTTGTTCTGCTGCTCTATGATCTGTGATATTTTTTTTCTTTTTTGCAGGTTTTCAACACAGAAACAGCTCAGGTGATCAGTTACCACCAAGTGGAGCTCAAGCAGCACTTCCCAAAGGAAGGGTGAGACACTTTACATCACATCAGTTTCTATGAATCACACCTCTGCAGGTTTATAAAGATGCAGAAACCAGTCAGAAAGATGCAGAAACCAGTCAGCAGGAACTAAATTTAACTTTGCTTCTTAGGTCTAAAGTGTTTCTCAAAAAGTCTAAAACTCTAATAAACATAAAAAAATACATGACTTAATCTGGAACAGACAGTAAATCTGTTCCAGCTCCTCACTTTTCTCAAAAATGTTTCAATGTCTTTTGTTTTATTTTTCATTATTATTTTATACCTATTTCTTTCTGATAGAAAAACGATGAACATCAGATAAAAGCATGCAAGCTGCACTCTGAGTGAGCAAATGACATCATCATCTGCATATATCCATATCTACACTGACATTCATTGAAGTGTTTAGCGTCGTATAAAGGAAATGAAACGAGCCCAAGAACCGAGCCTTGAGGGACACCTACAGGACTTTCCAGGCCGAGAGGCTTGACTTCATCCACTGGAGCATTCTGTTCCCTTTTAAATAAATATGAGTAATAATATTTTAGAGCGACAGGGAGAGAAGCTGGATGGAGTTCAGCAGGAGGATTTCCATATCAGAGGCTTTCTGAACCCGTTAAGCTCAGACTGTTTCAGAAGCAGCTTCCAACTGTAATAAATCTAAAATAACTCCCGAATTATCAGGCCTACATGCAACCTTTTAGTTCCAGTGTAAAGGTGAAAGATAAGAGAATTTTTTCCTCCAGTGAAACCAATGTCACCGCTGTTACTGATTTGTGTTTAGAGAAAATATCCAACTTTATTAGCCTCATCTAAAGTTTTTCTATCAAAATGAACAGTAAAATGCATCATGAAAATCTTTTTGAAAACCTAGGAGATGCCCAGATTGGTTTATAAAGCTAACGGTGTATAAAGCTAACAGTGTATAAAGCTAACGGTGTATAAAGCTAACGGTGTATAAAGCTAAAGGTGCGTAAAGCTAACGTGTATAAAGCTTAAGGTGCGTAAAGCTAACATGTGTAAAGCTAAAGGTGTATAACGCTAACGGTGTATAAAGCTAACGGTGTATAAAGCTAAAGGTGTATAAAGTTATAGGCATATAAAGCTAATGGTGTATAAAGCTAACGGCGTATAAAGCTAATGGTGTATAAAGCTAACGGTGTATAAAGCTAAAGGCGTATAAAGCTAATGGTGTATAAAGCTAACGGTGTATAAAGTTAAAGGCATATAAAGCTAAAGGCGTATAAAGCTAACGCCGTATAAAGCTAATGGTGGTTAAAGCTAACGGTGCATAAAGCTAACGGCGTATAAAGCTAACAGTGTATAAAGCTAACGGCGTATAAAGCTAACGGCGTATAAAGCTAACAGTGTATAAAGCTAACGGTGTATAAAGTTAAAGGCATATAAAGCTAACGGTGTATAAAGCTAACAGTGTATAAAGCTAATGGTTTATAAAGCTAAAGGCATATAAAGCTAAAGGTGTATAAAGCTAACAGCGTATAAAGCTAATGGTGCATAAAGCTTAAGTTGCTTGTTCAAGTCTTTCTAAAAGAATATTCTGATCAACTGGATCAAATGCAGCACTGAGATCCAACAGGACGAGC